CCCTCAGGCACAGGGGAGGGTGGGAGCATCTGCATCCCCCAGGCTCACCCCAGAAACATGGGGGAAGGAAGTGGGGAAGCAGCCGGCTGTGCCGGAGAACGGTTGGGAGCCAGCTGGGATTTGGGCGCTGGGGCTGGGAACACGTTGGAGGCATCCGTAGCCTGGATGAGCAGTCTGCAATGGTGCCTCTGCTCCCAGCAGCAGGCAGGTAAACACGATGCAAAGCTGCTCCTTGGGTACATCAGAGTCACAGCTGCCGACTGCAGTGACTAAAATAAGCGTTTGCCTGCTTTTTATTCCTCCGAGCCCAGCAGAGCCCACTCAGTGCCAGGAGTGGAGCTGGAGTCTATTCTTAGCCCTGCAGGGAAGGGAGCGGGAGTCCCTGTGCTGCCGCCGTGCAGGGCTGGGGGCTGCCAGGTCCCATCCCCTCCTGGTCCCCAGGAGCCTGACCCAAACCCAGGGGTATGCCAAGGCAGGAGTGACTGCGCCCCAGTGGGGACAGAGTCCTACTTTTTGTCTAAGGAGGAGTTGGGGAGACAGTGAGAGGGAGGGATGCCCCAGCACCTCTCTCAGCATCGCTGCAGGATTCAGCATCTCCAGGGAGCGGCTGCAATGCAGGCAGCTTTGGAAGGGTTTCCCGCTGTTGCAGAGCTGCTTTTCTGCCTGGGTATGGGGGAAAGTGGGGGGCCTTGAATCACAGCTCCTGCTGCCTCCATGGAGGGGAAGTTTAAGAGGAGCTAAGGGGTCCGAGCTGACAGTCACCCCTCGCTCCATGCTGTGCTGTGATCAGACCTGCTTTGCCCAGCCCCAGCCATGAGATGCTGTTGCCTGCCCCAATGCTTCCCAGCTGTTTTGACGTGTGCTGTAGACCATGGTGGCTGGGGAGCCACCAGCTCCTAGCATCGTCCCATCCCTGCATTGCCCTGGGGGGCCTGCTCAGAAATGCAGGGAGATTTGGGGTGACCCCCAAACTGGTTTGGGGGAGCAGCAGGCACAGTGCAGTGAACAAAACACCCATAGTGAGGCACACTGTGGCCAGGCCAGTGCTTGGCTCTGCTCTCCATCCCAGACCTGTGAGGATGAGGGCAAGATGCGGGGCAGGCAGGGATGCAGCCATGCCTGGGGGGCCGGGGGGAGGCGCGGGGAAGAAGCCCTGGCTCCATAGCAACAGGTACTTGCCACGTAATGGAGTCCTTTCCGCTCGGCCTCTGCAGCCGCCAGCCTTATTCGCATGGCCATAAATAATTCAATTTTCTCATTCACACACATGAATGCTGCAGGCCGGGGCTCCGGGTACGCTCAGCCTCCATCTGTTTGGGGGGGGAGAAGGGAGAGGCAGGACCTGATAATAGGTTCCAGCGTTTGTTTAACATGGATGAGTGTGGCCAGATGGCCTGGGGATGGGAGGTGGGGATGGGGAGGTAGGAGGTGAGGGATGCTCCGGGATGCTCCTGGCACGCTGAGCCTCCCCTACATGAGGAGGGTAGGAAAGCAGGGGACTGGTGTGGGGATGAGCTTTGGCACCTCCAAATCAACTCTGGTACCTCCAAATCAGCCTTGGAGATGTGGATTTTGGGGCTGGGAGTGGGTTAGATGAGCTCAGGAAGCCTTTCCTCTCACTGTGCCTTTGGTGCCTTCCCAACAGGGAAGAAGGGATGGGAGAAGCACTGTGCTGTGCTGACGATCACCCCAGTCCCTGGTGAGACGCCGTCACAGCGTGAGCTGGGAGCAGGGGAGTCAATCCAGAACCAAGATAATTTGGCTGGAGATGCCAAAGGGGAAGGGAAAAGGGGTGCTGTAGCTTACCACCCTGTCCTGCACTGCCAGGCAAGGGCTAGCAGCCCCCAAAATGACCCTAGAGAATAACACTCCCGGCAATAGAGAGACACATTGCAGCTCGCTAACACAATTAGCAAGCTCCAAGCCACCCCCTGGCAGGGATGCGGGGAGCCTGGCAAGAGAAAACAAGGGAATTAGCAGGGTTAAGAGGCTGTGCTTGGAGAGCTTGCGTGTTGCTGCCGAGGAGCCGGCGCCTGCTGCGTGCACATGCCCAGCTGGGCTGGGAGGCGAGGGATGCTGGCTACAGCCCAGTGGTATCCGTCCCTTGCCTTCCCCCCTGTGACTTGGGCACAATCCAGCCCAAAGCATGCTGAGGGCAGCGTGAAAGCCGTCACCTTCATCCCCTCTCAGTGTCTGAGCAGAGGGAGCCGTCGCTCTGGCACATGGCAACAGCCTGAGCCTTGGGTGGGCTCGGACCCCGACAAGAAAATACAGACCAGGGAGGAGCCTTGAAGGTGGAATTGGTCACTTCACCTTAACTCTGCCTCTCACGGGAAAAGGGTTGGGCTCCTTGCGACTGGAGCAAAGTCCTGATCTCATTCATCACCCAGAGAAATCCCCATTGGAGACCCCATCCCTGCTTAAGACAGTGGCAAGCAGGCACTCAGCCTCGAGCTCAGGCGCTGTCTTGAACCGAAGCCTACAAAGCCAGCAAAGGGAATTCAGATGCTGCCAGAAAGAGGGTCAAGAGAGGAGCCCATGCTCTGGCAGCATTATCTGTCACCAGCTTTGGAAGAGTTTCCCCCGTGGGAATGGGGGGAGGTGGAAGTGCCTGCCAGGGGGAGCTGGGAGCGTAACCAGCTCGTGTGCTGGTGTTCCCGAGCGCCGCAACGTATTTGGGTACAACACGTGTGTATGTATGTATATTTGGGTGCCTTCATACACAGGCATGAATTCTCTTCTGGTTACATGCTCTCGCAGGATTTTGAAGCAATAAGAGATCAGCTAGATAGTGCATCCCTGGACCATCAGGCACAGCCAGCCACTGCTCCACAACTCCTCCCGCGTGTTGTACATCCCCTGCCTGCTCCGTGTGTCCGTCCGTACGGACCAGAGCCAGACCCCATGCCCCGGGTCTGTTTAGCTGGACTTGCACCTTTTAGCACCACTGGAATGACAGGCAGTCCTCACTTGTGCCCATCTAGTATTAAATTAACTCCTGCTTTCCATGGTGGCTGCTCAAACAGCCCCTGCCCCATGCACAGTGCAGGGAGCAGCTGAGCCCGACTGCACACCTGGGAGCCAACCCCCCCGGCAGCTCTCCACCATGGACCCCACACCCCCCTCCGAGCATCCCCCTGGGGAGCAACAGCCTCAGCCTCCCCAAAGCCCCCCAAAGCAAGGTGGGTCCAGGCAGGGCTGCCCCGTGCCATGCTGGGGCACAGAGCGCAGCCGGAGCTCCCCAGCAGACAGCCTGTCCCCGTGGGGTGCACTCGCGGCAGCGAGGGGGCAAAGGCGGCAGAACAGCATGGGGGACTGTGGGCACTCCCCCCAAATCTCCCGGGCCATGAGCTGGGAGGCACAGGCTGTGCCCCTGCGCTTCGGCTGCTGCCAGGCGGGTAAATGCCAAGGCCACCCAGACAGAGATTTCCACGCATCAGACAATTTTCATTTTGCCTCTTCCACCCAAAAACTAGGCCCAGCCCAAGCCCGCTGCATCTTTTGAGGGATGGATGGCAGAAACATTCCACTGCTTATTCTTTCAACTCCCAGTTCAGCACTGCAGGAGCAGGACATGGGGAGCCTGGCTCCGGCAGGCTCCTCGCTCCCAGGATGCCAGGGGCAGCTGCGTTCTCAGGTCCTAAAGGATGGGGCTGCTGGAGCACGGTCTTCTTCCCCGCCTGCCCCACATCCCCATGCCACCTGCCCCATGGAAGGCTGCAAAGGCAGCCCACGCTACTAGTCACAGGGTTTACCCCAGTTGCCTTGCTCCCATCACAGCCACTCCTGCATGACCAGTGGCTCTGTAGCTGCCTGGAGTCTACGCAGGCTCCAGTGGATCTGGATCTGCAGGCAGCCATGGACTCGGGACAACCCGCAAGGGCTGCCCAGTGGTAGCCACCACGGAGTTTGGTGACTTGCATGGCCACTGCTGGGTTATGTCCCATGGGAAGGGACATAGCCTTCCTTTCACCAGGAACGCACACACCAATCCTTATGCGTACATCTCCACCCTGCTCTTCTCCAAGCCTCTCCCAGGTCCCAGACCCTTTTTCTACCCTGCTCCCTACCCACACATCCAAGCGACACCGAACGGAGGCACTTACCTGCTGCTTGCCCCAACAGAGCTGGAAGGATGGTGGGACAAAGGCCTGGGGACTGGGCAGAGATGGTCCTTCTCCCCCCAAGATGAGGAGGGAAGCTCCTCTCCCCCTGCCCCTGCCACAGCTCCTGGCATCACCCATGGTCCCTTGGGGCTTGGCCATGGTGGGTTTTATGAGGGTCCCTTTGATGAGGACCACAACAGGGACAAGGAGATGCCCAAGGCATCTGCCCAAAGGAAGGCAGGTGCCCAGCTGAGGGGTTGGAAGGGGTGGGCATCTTCCGAGGGGGTCTGGGAATGCCGTCTGGCAGGGGATGAAGACCCTGTAGACCCCCAAACCTCCCCCAGTGTGGGAGCATCCCAGCCCCTTTATGGGAGCAGGGACCTGCCACCCCAGTGGTTTTGTTGTCTAAAGGGTTGTCCTGTCTTCTGGAATAATCCCTGTGTCCTGCTTGGAGGTATGGGGAAGGCGGCAGGGTCCTAGGGGAGGTCAGAAGTGACTGGTCCCAGCTGGGGGTGCCCCGTCCGGTGTTTGGATTCCTGGGGGACCCTGGTGGGCTGCAGCCCACCGGGATCCCCGTTGGGACAAGGGATCACGGAGCACAGCCTTACCTTGGAGGAGCCTCTACGGGGGGAGGGATGCTGGACCCGGCTTGGGGCACCCCGGTCCCGGGAGAGCTGCGGCAGTCGGAGGCAGGGGATGCGGGGGATGGGGTGGGGATGGGATGGGTTTGGGATGGGATGGGGTGGGATGGATTGGGATGGGATTGGGTGGGATGGGGTGGGTGGGATGGATGGGTGGGTGATCTGGGGGCTGCAGGTCCCCCCGCTCTTCAGGTGCGGAGACAATAGCCAGGGCTCCTGTTGCAGCTGCAGACTGTCTCTTTAAACCCCTCACCAGCCCACAGGTGGCCCTGTCACCACCGTGGTCATCCATGACGTCATCGGGAGGGAGGGAAGGGGAGGAGGAGGAGGAGGGGGGAGAAACGCGATCCCCCTCCACAGCAAAAGTCCCCGAGCGCCCATGGCAACAGATTGCAAATGTCACTGCGCATCAGCCGGGAGGAGGCTGCCGGGCTGCCCCCCCCACGGGTGACATGGGGGGGACAGGGCTGTCACGCCACGGGTGGCACGGGGGGAGGGGGGGAAATGACAGGGCTGTCATGTCACGGGTGGCATGGGGGACACACAGGGCTATCACCCCCCACGGGTGACTCGGGAGAAACAGGGCTGTCACGCCACGGGTGGCACGGGGGGAACGACACAGGGCTGTCACCCTATGGGTGGCATGGGGGGAACAGAGCTGTCATCTTGTGATGGGTGCATGGGAGGGGACAGGGCTGTCACCCCACGCAGGGAGCTGGCAGGTCCAGCTCTCACCGTGGGATGTGGAGCAGCCTGGTGTCCCCCAGCCCCAGCCCAGACACCCCGCTGCAGGGGTGGGTGCTCCTGTCCCCCTGCCCAGGAGGATGCTGGTCCCTGCCTGTCCCCTGTGCTTAGGGGATCCCCATTAGCCAGCAGTGGCACCCAGCCCCAGCCGCCCACGTGGGCACCCCAGGAGGACCAGGCACCCCAGTCATCCCCCAGCTCCTGCCCCTGGGGTCCTACCTGGGCTCTGTCCCTGCGATGGGGCATTTTGCAAAGACCAGGAGAGTTTCGGAAGGTATTTAAATCAGATCTTGCCTTCAGGCAGGGACAAGGCAACCCCGGGAGTAAGAAAAGGGGGGGTCCAGTCCTGCACCTACAGACCCCAGACCTGCAGACCACATCCTGGTGGCGCTGATCCCATTAACAGCCTCCAAAACCTGCCCAGTTCCACTTCAAACAGAGCCTCTGGCACCAGTTAAAACTAAAGCAAGGGGTGCTTTGATGGCAAAGAAGGGTTTCCTTAGTTCTGTGATGGTCCATGGGTGTTGCAGCCTGCAAACTTAGCTTTGACAGAGCCTGATCCCCACGAGAGCTGCCCAGCATGGGGAGAGGGGCCACAGCTCCCCTGGGGTTTTGGTGGGGCTGAGCAGCCGTGAGTCCTGGCCACGGTGGGACAGGACCTTTCCACCCCCTTTATAAAATGGTGTATGAGTGTGTACATGGATGTCCATGCAAGGGGAGCCCAAAACTCTGCAGACACGAATGAAGTCACCCCCCAGGCTTGGGGAAGAACTAAATGTTAAATTACATTCTTGTTTTTCTTGGAAAAATTAGAGACATCTGAGGTCTCCCTCAGTTCCCTTTGCTCTTTTCTCATGCCAGTAAGGGTTTCCATGGCTGAAGTTTGTCGCTACCGTCATTAGGATGCTTTACTCTAAAAAAAAAGCCCGCGGAAGCAGCCGGTTCCTGCAGAGCAGCCGGACTCAGCCCCACACACACCGGGACTTGGGGAGGACTGAGGCACCGCTCGGGGCTGGAGCATTCTTCCCCACGCTGGGCTCTTGCGCAACCTTCACCCTCCTTTTTTAATATATAAAAAAAATTAATTGGTTTATTTTTTTTCCCTGCCCTCAGCACAATGGGGAAGTCAACAGCAACCGAGCTCAGCGGTTGTGGGAGGTGGATGACCATGCTCAGGACCTGGAGGTTTTCCTTCGTCTGCAAGCATCCCTGTGAGGAGAAGGTCCAGCTTTTCCCAGCAGCAATTCTGTGCTGGGGGTTGTATCTGGCTGGTGGGGCAGGCAGGGTCGGGAGCAGCCCACCCCTACGATCTCCCCAGCGCTGTCCTCCTTATGCACCCTCTCTAATCCCAGGAAAACAGCCACGGGATCCAGAGCCAGGAGGCTCTTTGTAAACAGCAAAGCAAGAACAGCAGAAGGGTCCTTGCTTCAGGAATGGGAGAAATCATCCAAACCAGTCCAAACAGCTACTTTTTTCTTTTTTTTTTAATCCACCTGCCGGCTCTTGAGAAACAGGCTGGAGATGGATGTGGCACTGGCAGGGTGGTGGTGGGGTTGGGGATGCTGCTCTGGCACTGGGGCTCACCGCGAAGGCACGGAGCATCCCACTCCTCAGCACGCTGCTGAAGCCTCAATAACGGACTCTTGTGTGTCCCCCCACCCTGGGACAATACCTCATTTCTGGTGGAAGGGACACGCTCAAGGTTGTTTGGGGTGGGACAGGGAGATTTGCATAGGGGAGCAGCTGGAGCAAGTTGCCCAGGGCTGGGCAAGGATAAATTGGGCGAGGGACACCCCTGACCGCCCCAGCTGCCCAGCTGCGGGCTCTGACCTGGGGAGAGCAGGGCTCCTCTTTAAACACCGCTTCTTCCACCAAAGCCAGCCCAAAGAGACCCAAAGCCATGGACCTGCAGCTGCTCTGCAAGGCTGGAGGAGCCCAGCACCCCCTGGACCAGCCCTCAGTAACCTCCATACCCATTCCCAGCAACCCCCATACCAGCCCCTATACCAGCCCTCAGTAACCCCTGTACCAGCACTCTGGGCTCTGGGCTGGGGCTTGCCATCTCCCCTGGCCTGGGGACATGCAGATGGGCGCCCCCTTCCCCACTGTCCCCCAGCAGATGAGGATGGCGTCAGCCACATGTCCCCCAGTGCTGGATCCCCGAGGGGCAGCACGAAACGCTGCAGGAGGTGGGAAATCGCAGCTGGTGAAACATCCCAGGAGCCCTGAGCCTTCAGCATCCACCCACAGTGTGGGGGGGTGTGGTTCTGGCCCTGCAACCCCCCAACATCCCGCCTCCCCCAGGGCCAAAATAAGCGGGGACTAACTTTGCCCCCAGCCTTGTGCCCGTGATGAGATTTATTGCACATGAGGCAAATCCCTGCCGATGGATGAAACCGCTCCAGCAAGGGTCCCCCGGCCCCCTCCCCAGCACTGAGGGGGCCACAGCCGTGGGAAGATTGCGATGATGAAGTTATTAGCTCCGGAAGCACTAATTGCTGCTGTATTAATGGCTCTTTTGTCCGGAGAGCTGTCTTTTGGTGTATGTGTGCCGGGCGGTTGTTTTTCTGCCAGCTGCTGTGTGGTTGGATGCTCTTTGGTATTTAGTTTGATCCTATTAAGGTGGATCTCAATTAATTAGGCAGGAGGCAGAGAGACAAAGAGAGGCGCCGGGGCCATTCATTTTAGTCTTGTCATCGCGCCTTCTGCAACTGGGAGGCAGTGGGGAGGGCAGGAAGGGACATGGGATGCGGCTGCTGGGCTTGAAACCGCTGGGAGATGGGAATGGGTGAGCAGGTAGGATGGCAGGGGGGTCCCCCCGAGGGTCCCCTGGTCCCCCAGGGCACCCTGCCTGCTGCACAGGAGTGATTTCCCAAGGCAACTGGAGCCACCCGGGTCCCATCCCCCAGGGAAGTGGGATTCTGCTTCACCCTGCTACCAATGGGACCCTAAAACATCCCCTAAAACACACAGAGGATCCCTGGGAATTTCAATGGGTGCAGCAGGAGCACCCCCCCTCCATCCTTTGTGCTGCCGGCTGGGTACCACTGTTCCATCCCTGCAGGGCCACCACCCTCCGGGAAGGGGGTGGCAACCTGGTGGGCTCCCCAGCACCCCAGTTTGAGCATCCTGCCTCATGGCCCCCACCCATGGCTCCTATGCCCACAAGTGGAGCAGCTCCAAGTGCCAGCGTGGCTGCCCAGCCTCAGCAAGAGGCCAGCAAATGGATCTCAAGGGCCCCCCGACATTCCTCTTTCCTTCCCTTTGAAGGACAAGTGCCCCCCGGAGCTGCCCTCGCCGCCTCGGCTGCTAATGCATGGGGCGGAGGGGGGATGCTGCTAAAAGCCCAGGAGAGCAAAAAGCTTTTAAGGCCCTTGGAAAGCCCAAGGGGGTGCCCAGGGGTGACCCTAATCTCTGCCACTGGTGCTGGGGTTGAGGTATCAGGGCGCACCCCAATATGCTGGCTGGCAGAGGTGTGATGTCCCCGGGGGTGTCCCTGTGCAGGGACTTGGGGTGCAGGGGGTGCCTGAGGATGGAGGGGTCTGGGATGCTTGAGGCATGGGGGTGTGTGTGTGTGTCAGGGGGTGCTGGGGTGCAGGGATGAGGGTGCAGGATGGTGCAGGGGGCTCGGGCATGGTTGGGTGGGTGTATAGGGAGTGCTGGGATGGGGTGGCTGGGGTTCAGGATGGGTGCAGGGAGTCCCAGGATAGGGTGCAGGATGGGTGAAGGGGGTTCAAGCATTCAGAGGGTGCCCAGGGTGCAGGGAGGGGGGTAAAGGATGGGTGCAGGGGGTGCTGGGATGGGGTGCCAGGGGTGGCCGGGGTGTAGGGTAGGTGCTGGAGGTGCAGGGTGAGTGCAGGATCGGTGCAGCATTTCAGGGTTGCCGGGTGGGTGCAATGGAGCGCAAGGTTTCAAGGGGCACATGGTGGGTGCAGGGGGTGCCGGCTGGGTGCAGGGTGGGTGCAGGGGGGCCGGCTGGGTTCAGAGTGGGTGCAGGGTTTCCGGGGTGCAGGGGGTGCCCGGGCGC